TATGAATATAATATACAAGTTTCACTTTTTAAATGGAATTACTGAAATCAATCTACTTTTTCATGATATTCTAATTTTATGACCAGCACCTGTATGTACTCAGTATGGTTTGGAGGAATGCACTGACCGATGTCTGCTCACATCACAGGGACTGTGCTAGAACAAGAACAGAAACAGTAAATTTTAGTTTTTGTCACACTTGTTCTTTTGCCACTGTGCCGATTTACAGTCCGACTGGACAAAGTGCTTTTAAATCTGTCTTTCAGGCGCCGGTTTGTTAGGTCTCCAAGCCTCTACTCAGACAGCATTTATCCCGACTTCCTCCTACTCCTATCTAAAATTAGAGACTTATCCTTCGTTAAACTTTAGTAGCATTTTAACTTAAGTAGCATTTTATTTGTTTTTTATTTTTCTCCATGCACCCAATGTTAAAGTTGTTCTTTAGTGGCTGACCCTGTCTGTCTTTGTATGATATGGAGCACCAGCTTTTAAAGCAATGGGATCTGATTCCAGGCCTTTATATTTATTTTGGTTAGAATAAATAAAATATATATTTTTTGTTATGCCAATAATCTGTTATAGCTTAGCCATCTCTAAATAACCGTATTATAACCAGCCTTTTTATTTGATGGCCAAAAAATCTTGGCTAAATGTATTTTTCCAGTTGAAAAGGTCCTGATGGTTCTTCTAAGCCTAAAGGTTAGGAGCGGCACTCCTTATACTAAAAAAAGATCAGATTTCCTGTGCATGTTAGCATCAGGTTAGAATATCATGCATCTCTCCAGCCCTGTGGGACTCATGCATGCAGCTGTTGGGTTTCTGGCTCACTTAGTCCTGTTATTTCACCCCAGCTGTTTGCTTCTTCTCTCAGCATCCCGAACATCTGTGTGGTCCCCTCTCTGCTCGCCTCCATCCCTCATCTACAGTACCTTTATTTGCTCGTACGTCCTGTTTGTTTGTTATTATCTGGGGCGCTAAATGCTGTAGACCCATTGGTCTAATTACACGGAACTACTAGCATTCATGAGATTTTTTCAACCTAACTGTACAGAAAATAAATTGCTTTTAAATCTGGAGTTTCATGACCAATTCAGTGGAATTTTTGCTTATTTATGATTCCTTCCTTTGTTTGATGCCTCAGCATCTTAAACATCTGTCTGGATGTCTAGATAAGCACTTCGTCTAATAACAGTCTAGCTATAAAGACGTCTCTCTGAAGAACCATCCTGGCAGGATTATTTGGCCTCCTCTGAGCCCTTGGACATGTTGATTTTATTTCTTTCCCTTCGACCTCAGCCTGTTTGTCTTGGTGTTGACTTCGTGTAGTGTCACTAAAAGAACACAGCTAATTAGCTTTTTCTGTGGAGAAAACAATCCGTCTTACACCCCCACCTTTTGAAATAACACCCAAAAAAAGTCCAACCAGCTTCTCCAGTTCTGCCGTCACTAATGGAGGGAAGTAGATTAGTTGATGCTTCTCATCTCAGCTTCTGGCTGCAGTGTCACGACTTTAGCTTGTTATCAGGCAAAAGTTGCGCAAAGAAACAATAAACTTCACCTGAACAGAGAGTTTGAGCAAACAAGCCAGCGGTGAAAGGAAGACAGTTCATCATTTTGACAGATCAGTTGCAAGATTTCCTCCAAAGAATATTTGTGAGCACTCAACCTTCCTCTACTGTGCATAACAGCTACGATAATCACCAGGGCTTTTTCCTCAGACAGCTACCATGGGTCTCTGAGAAAACAGTCAGTCCACAGCTCTGTTATGAGATGGGTTAATGCTGGTTATGGACAAGGTTTTGATGACAAAGCCAAAGATTAAAGCTGTGAGTTTAGGGCAGTTTCTGTGAGATCATCATTTCTCCATCAGTCTGACATTATAAAAATAAGGGGAAAATGTGTCTTTCCTGTTTAGTATTGAACACATCAGGGTAAAACGTTTCCAAATGCTTAAAGATGTGGCAGCCATGAGTCTCTGCAATGAAAACCTCAACCTCTGTAACAGGCTTTAACCTTTAGCTTTATGATTGTAGAGAACAATGTGAAGGTTTGAGCATGGCTGGAGAATGCTCTGATGGGCCTAAGGTGTTCTGTCTCTCTTTGCTGCAGGTTTGTCCATGTTGCGCTCAAATGAAGAACAGGCTCCTACGCTGCAGAACAAGTTCATCGGGGACATCGAGGAGCTCGCTGCCAGTTACGAGCGAAAACTCATAGAGGTTTGTGTAAATTCTATCCGTGCTTCAGTACTTTATGTCATAACCAGAAACTGACTTTAATTCAGGCTAAACTTTAATCATTAAAGGCATCTTTTTTAAAACTCCAGTGCAACTTTAAGATGTGTCTCTGCTTCATCACACCTGACTGTAGAGAAAGGGACATATCTGCTTTTAGGTTGATTAAACTAAGTTCTATTAGCTAAATGTAACAAAGACTAGAGGGAGGTATTTTTAAACTTTGCTCAAGTCCAGAACCAGATCCCGCCATCAATTATAGCCAAGAAGATTTATCTTTATTTCACAAAAGATGATAGTGACACGGTCAGTTAAACCGCACTCGGCTCAGTGCACTCTGCAGCTCAGACTGGCCCAAAGCAGCTTTATCCCGCCCAAATGTGTGTGCTGTGCAGGGTGTAGCAGAGCAGAACCAGCTCAGATGGGCTATCTGAGACTGGGCTCTATCATCCTGACTCTAAGTGCATCCAAAACAAGTGTGATGTTAACGAGAGAAAAAAATGATCAGAACGCCATGGTCATTGGGCGCTGCATTCATACCTGCTGTTTCAGACTTTCTCTCTTTTTAAAAAAAAAAAAAAAAAAAGCAACAACTGTTCCTCTTTTGTAAATATAGTCACATTTTATATCCACCACAGCTAAATACAGGTTTTTTTTGTGTCCACCTCACTGCTCAGACGTGAGCTTAAGACAGAAACTCCAAAGTGAAAGGTCAATCAATGCTGCCAAAGGTTCCCACCATACAGGAAAAAATAGGTGCTATATTTGATTCTAGTTGTTAGGGTCTGAAAAGTTGCTGAATATTGCAATGAAGTCTGCGAGTTTGCAACAGTGAACAGTTCATTAATCAATTTCACTTAAATTCAGTTTAATTTTATAGCACCACAACACATGTAATCTCAGGACCCTTTACAGAGATAATTCAACCAGATTAGTCACATTACTTAAAGGTTTTCTTTTAAAGGAAAGCCAGCTGATTGCATTGACTCATTGAACTGACAGCAATTCCTTACATTAAGCATGCATGTAGCGACAGTGAAGAGGAAAAACTCCCTTTTAACAGGAAGAAACCTCCAGCAGAACCAGAATCAGTTTAAACGACCATCTGCAGAGGCCGACTGGGGTTCAAGAGACAGAAGCAGAGGTACAAAAGGCAACTGTCGACCAGCTCCACAGGCGGCCCTGTTCAGGAAACACACAACCAGGCTCTGAGCCAGCTCCCATGTCAGAGGATAAAAGAGCAAATACAGTTAGTCACAATCAGAGAAACAAGACTACATGGAACAACAGGCTAAGCTCCAACATTTATAAACAAAGGTGTTGATGGCAGCAGCACAGCTGATTTTTCTTGCCAGAAAGTCACAGACATACAGGAGCAGACCAGATGTAGCTACTATGAGAAAAATAAGGGGTGCATAAAATAATGAAGATGAACTAACAAATTCTGTGGAATGGGAGAATAGAGATTGAATGAAGCAGAATTATGAAAAGCGGTTGCATTGTCCTCCAGCAGTCTAAATCTATAGCAGCATAACTATAGAGATAGCTCACTATAACCTGAGTTTTAAGCCTACACTGGAAAAAAATCAAAATCTAGATAAATATTTTTTTTCTTTAAATAGGTGCATTTGTTCTTGGATTGAGGAGGTAAAAGAGACATTTTGCTAATGGAACAAGACAATTTACACTTAACATAAGAAAACACAATTGCATTGTCTTATTTCAAGTGCATATGATCTAAATATCTTATTTTAAGAGTAAAAATACTATTTTCATTGTCAAACTATCTTATTTACCTACTCAAATTAATAGTAAATACACAATACACTTAATTTAAGACATTTTTACTTATTTGTAGATCGTTTTTCCAGTTCAGCATTAAAGATGGAACTAAATACCTGATAACAGACAGGCAAAGCGGTCTTAACACAAAAATAATAAATATATTGTAAGAATCTTATATGTGGTGAAATCTTACCAAATCAAGCTACCTCACATTAGAGAACCCTTGTTAAACATAAATCTATAAATTCTAAACTTTGATTTTATTAAGGCAAGGTGTTGAGGGGATCCGTTTTGGTGGCCTCAGGATTGCATCTCTGCTTTTTGCAGATGATGTGGTCCTATTGGCTTCATCAGGTCGTGATCTGCAGCTCTCGCTGGATCGGTTCGCAGCCGAGTGTGAAACGGCCGGGATGGGGATCAGTGCCTCCAAATCCGAGGCCGTGGTCTTGAGCCGGAAAAGGGTAGAGTGCCTTCTCCGGGTCAGGGGGGGTGTCCTGCCCCAAGTGGAGGAGTTTAAGTATCTTGGGATCTTGTTCACGAATGAGGGAAGAAGGGAGCGGGAGATCGACAGGCAGATTGGCGCAGCATCTGCCGTGAAGCAGGCGCTGTACCGGTCCGTCGTGGTGAAGAGAGAGCTGAGTCAAAAAGCAAAGCTCTCGATTTACCGGTCGATCTACGTTCCTATCTTCATCTATGGTCATGAACTTTGGGTCATGACCGAAAGAACGAGATCGCGGATACAAGCGGCCGAAATTTGTTTCCTCCGTAGGGTGGGCTCTCCCTTAGAGATGAGAAGCTTGGTCATCCGGGAGGGACTCGGAGTAGAGCCGCTGCTCCTCCACGTCGAGAGGAGCCAGTTGAGGTGGCTCGGGCATCTAGTTAGGATGCCTCCTGGACGCCTCCCTGGTGAGGTGTTCCGGGCACGTCCCACCGGGGGGAGGCCCCGGGGAAGACCCAGGACACGCTGGAGAGACTATGTTTCTCGGCTGGCCTGGGAACGCCTTGGGGTTCCTCCTGAGGGGCTAGAAGAAGTGGCTGGGGAGAGGGAAGTCTGGGCCTCCCTTCTTAAGCTGCTGCCCCCGCGACCCGACCCCGGATAAGCGGAGAAAGATGGATGGATGGATGGATGATTTTATTAAAATGTCTTGTGGGTGGGGCGTACTGTTAAAAGGTTACTCGTATACAAACATTGGTAGTGTATACATAACGCAACGGCTGAATTGACCTTGTTCCACCTCACCCACTTTGAAAATTATTTAGTTTGGTTTAACTGCCCATGAGTCTCCAAACCTTAACCTTCTGGCTCATGATGATCGTCAGATGTTGCCTCCTCGTAGTGCCATTTATTAGATGAAGCACATCAGTCACTCATGCAGAAATGCACCTCCAAAGCATTATGCATCCACCCCCTTACTTAAAATGGTGTTCTTACAAGATTTCTCCTCTATCCCCCCAAAATATGAAATGTTGGTCCTTATGTCAAAAATTGTGTCTTAAGAGAACTAGACATGTCTCCAGAAGAGAAATCTTTGACTCTGAGTGCTTCTCAAACCACATTCTTCTTTCTCTGTTGCTTTTTAGTGTAAAAGCTTCTTCTCAGTCAGCTTCAGTCCATGCTGGTCCAGGACTCTTAGACTTAGACAACATTTATTATCATCTTGTATATACATAGTGTTTACATACACATAGTGGATACAAAACGAAATTTCATTTTTGTCCAGCTTTCAGACAGTAAATGAGTAGCAGCTTACCACTCATTATATTGTGTCCGTCTGTTGTTTTTTTTTATTATAGTTAACACGGTTCTGTCTCCTACTTCTCTCTGTGGGCAAGGATAATAGAAAATGACCTGAGCTTGATTTTTCCAACTCCAAACAAAGACACTGATGCCTCTAGCTTTTGTATTGACAGTAGAGAAACACTTAAAAGGCTGTCATTGCAGTTTCAATGACCCTTTTATCACCATTAAATCTCCTGTTATTGTGATCAGTTTGATGAAGCAGCACTAAAAGTAATGCTATCTTACCCTTTTGAATGCCAGAGAATCCATTAGTAAAGAAATGAAAGTTTAACTATTACTGCTGTCTGCAGAAGATGAAATCAACCTAAGGAGAGGAACCACAGACATTTTCTACACTTCCCCGGCTGTTTTTTTTAAACCCCAACCACTCAAAGCTGGTATTTTCCTGTATTAAAGAGGAAGTTCATTCTTCATTTAGAGTGTTATCCTGCTTGTTTAACTGATCTTCCATCTGTAATTCACTCTTTGGATCATCTGGCAGTCCCAGAACTGGATAAAGTCTCTTTAAGGAAAGAAAAGTCAGGCAGTCTGTCAATGTCAGTGTGAGACTCTGCTTTTGTCTTAATGGGTCATTTCCTCTGACTACAATGGTACACAGAAGTTTTCACACCCCTTCAACCTTTCCTTATCTTATTCTAAAATAAACGCATCACTTTTTTTAATTTGGATTTTATTTGACAGAAAAAAAACAAGCACATCCCTATGAAATAGAATTTTCACACCAGAATTTATGAAATAGCTTGGTCCCTATTGAAAAATATTAGTTTTAAATGGCTACTGGTTTAAGTAATCCTGTTCTTTATTCACTCAACCCTGACATAAAAAAAGCAGTATGAACTAACTTGTGAGGTTACCACGACCTGTCAGTTGTTTCAGTACATCTTGTGTCCCATCATACCTTTTAAATCAAGGGTGTGGTGTTACTGATTCTTGTTGTGAGTCACAAAATAACACGGTCAGCAGACGGTATAGGTTTATACACAAAGTTTACCCTTTTAAAATCTAAAAAAAAAATCGTTATTTGAATATTTGAATATTTTCTTCCAATCTTTTAACTTGCACATTAAAAAAAGAAAAGAGAAAATCATTTTTCTCCTCAGAAATGTTTTTTTTTTCCTGTTTTCCTCTGTGATGTGCCAACTTCTTCCAACTTTTCTTTTGAAAGATATTTAACATCCCAGATATTTAAACCAATATTTTTGGTCCATTTACATAAAACCCAGATAAAATCCCACTGAAGATTATGTATGCATCGGGAAAAAGCTAAAGTAACACCGTGCCCTTTAACCACTGGGGACCTCTAACTTACAAGTTTAGCACCCCTGAAAGCATCTGTCGACACCACACTGTCACAAAATTAAGCTGTCATTGAGTTTTTTGTGAAATGACGGCCACATTC